CTCCCAGCACAGAGCTTGAGACCCCCAAACTGGAAGGAGGAGACCTCAAACGCCCCTGATCTGAGCTGGCACCCCTGGTTTGGGCTTTCCCTCCCCTCCCAAGACAGCCAAGCACTAAACCAGCCGTGAGGCTGTGCAAACAAGTAAGACCACCTCGTCCTCCCTCCCCAGAGGGATCTTCCTTGCTCTTGTGGAAATATTGATCCAGATAAACCAGGGAGATGCATTAGGTGCCCCGAGGGGGTCAGGAGATCAGCGGCTCAGCTGGCCGCCTGCCACCCCATGCCCACAGGGTCTGGGATGGGCAAGAGAAGAACCAGGGGCCTCGGGAAGGCCTTTACACCACTGAGAAGGCCGGGTCCAAAGTGCTTTTGCCAAGGGGAGGTAAAACAAATCGATGAGGGGCCGTGGTGACACGCTGACCTGACACTGAGCCAAGGTTTTAAAATGTGACAGTAAATCTGGGTGGGGGGTGCGGAGGCAGATGGCTGGAGGGGGAGGTGAGATGGGGCACTTGCTGGTGGGACGAGACGAGGGAAGGGCGAGAGCTTCCAGACTACATGGAGGCCAGCAGAGACCCCTGGGGAAGGGAAAAGAGGTGGGAGAGGGCAGCTTGGACACTGATGTGGGGATGGGTGATGCCTTTGCCATGACTGGGATGCCCATCGTAGCTAAGCAGCACTCCTGAGTGGTCCTTCCTGCTGCCACATGTGCCCAGGTCCATCCAGGAATGCTGCAGTATGCCAAAGCAGAGACATCCCAAGCCTTCCTCCAAACCCTTTTCCATCCAGCCAAGGGGAAATGTCCCCTCCAAATGGAGGTCTCGATTTCCAGCTCCTTGCTCCCACCTCCCACCTCTCACTCCCCGCCAAAGCCAGAGGAGAGGGCAGGAAGGCACCAACGGCTGTGGATCCGGTTACCTGCAGCCAACAAAACCTACCTGTCCCTTTCCCCTGCCCCCATCCAGGGCGGATGAACCAGAAGGACCCCCCTGGCCCTCCCCGAGCATCGCCAGGTCGCTGCCTGCCGCGATCGAGTGACCAGATGGACGGCGGCCTCATGCCGCAGCCGCCTCTGTGGGTCCCTTGTCCCCCTCCAAGCCGGCCGAGCTTTGACGCTCTGTCCCCCCGGGGCAGCCTTTTGTCAGGGGCGTGCAGAAGGGCCCCTGTGTCCCTCTGATCCCCGCCGGCCCCATGGCAGCGCGTCCCCGGCCAGAGCATAAAGCTGGCTTTCAGGGATCTGGCGTTGGGAAACTCCCGGGGAAGAAGCAAGGGAGCTTCTTGTTAAACGGGGAGACAAAGCCACCTTGTTAAGGGGTTTACAAAGGCCACCATCTCCCCCTTGCCTGGGAAGCTCGCGGCCGGCGACTCCCAACCTCACCGGGGGGATGGCTTTCCCTCGGAAAGATGGGAACACTTAATAGTCGTGCCATGCCGCAGCCCTGTGACCCATGAACCCGCTCGGAGCCACATCTCTGGAGGAAATCGGGGACCAAATGCTCATGGTGGGGTCTCCTGTGGTTTTCCTGTGGGTGTGACGCTGGCAGCAGTGTTCCTGCTGGGGGGAACCCCATCCTTGTCACTGCTGGACCATCACCAGCACCCAGCGACCACCAAATTACAAAATGACATGGTTTTGAGTTTCACAGGAAGATTATCTGTCCTGTTCCTCCTTTGGGAGATGTGGGCCAGGGTCCCCTCCCACACTCCCTGCAGGTGGGGAGATGGAGCCCCAGGAGGTGACATGATAGGGACAGAGTCCCACGGGACACAGCCACATGGGACCTCCCTGGTTTTCCACCACTCCTTTTGCTCCCGTGAAGCTGCTGACCCCTTTCTGTACCAAATAAAATAAAGTTCAAACACTCACCTTTTGTGGAAAAAAATCCCTGCTTCCAGCAAGGTCAGTGGGAATTTTGGCACAACCTTCATGGGACCTGATGATGGCTCAGCCTCTGATGGGCCCCCTCAATTTTCCCATCCACATCTTGGGGCTCCTCATGCTGTGGGCCCCATCCAAGCCCCCAGAACACACTGCCCAAACTTGCTCATTGTTCTGGGTTGTTCTTGGCAACCCTCGTGCTAAAATCCACATGCATATTAAACCCTAAACCTAGTAATTACCTCTACCTCCAGAGAAACAGGAAAATTGATTTTGCCATAGTGATGCAGCAGGTTGCGGTAGCTGGCAGTGGCTGGTCAGCTTTTAAAAACCAGGACCCCTTGGGCATGAAGAAAGCCCACTTGGGCATGACAGCCACTGGGCAGGGGAGGGGGAGCCCTGTCCCTGCCAGCAATCCCTAGGCATGGGCAAAACGGGCTCAGCTCCATGTGGTGAGCCTCACTGGGCAGTGAGCACATTGCCAAAAAAGCCAAATTAACAGCAAGGAACATTCCCCCTGCTTTTCCCTGCATCACACGCTTGCCTCTCACCTACGCTTGCAGGGGGCACTCTGAGGGGTCCACATCCCTCCTGGCATCGTCTCCACATCTGCCTCCTCCTCTCCCTGGGGAAACGCCATCCCCAGGCACAGGAGGCTGGAGGACATGTCACCTCCTCTGCTTTGAGAAGAATGTGAGGTGTTGTGGCCTTCATGCTGCATGATGCCCCCATGGTTGCCCGTCCTTCACTGGGAACCCATGGCCACAGCTTTGTGCCCCGTGGGGCCGGGCTGGAGGCAGTTCTCCCTCACCGGGACCAGCAATAAATTGGACTGCTGCAGCTTTAAAGAAGTGTGTCTGCTCCTCGGCTGGCTGCAGGGCTGGTGGCAGCGGGGAGAGCCGGAGGACACCTGCGGAGATCCTGTACAGCTGGGGAAGATTAGCCTTTTCCACTAGACAAGACCCATTACCATGTTCCAATAGACCATCACTTCCGCTAGAAGAGCCTGCAGATGAGATATCGATTGCGGTGACCCCAGACGAGCCCTTCCTTGGAGCCTGGGAGGGCGGCAGAGCAGCCCCATGGCCCAAGGGGGGGGTGCAGCTTCCCAAAGGCATCCCAGGGACCCCCAGGGTGGCAAGAGGCTGCCTTGGAGCAGGCTGGAGCTCGGGCGATGGGATGTACAGAAGAGCTTTGAAGCCCAGCAGTGACCCAGGTCCCTTTCTGGGGTCTCTCCAGGCTCTTCCCGGGGATGAGGAGCCACTCAGACCACAGTCACTGCCCTTACAGCTAGGTGGGTGTTGCAGAAACAAACCTGCCACCTTCAAACCCCAAAATGTTACCCCCAAATACTTCTACTGAGGAGTTACCAGGTGGTTCAATAACTGCTCACACCACCCTGTTTGCCCTCTGCTTTTCTCTCCTGCTGTGACATGAGGCTGGGAGGGGCAGGAGCTGAGTGGGCCAACCTCTGAAATGCCACCCTGAGACACTCTGGGGGTGGGAAGATGCTGGGGTACTGCAAGGGGTCAATGAGGAACCACCAAATCATGCACAACCAGCATTTTTCAAGTGTGGGGTCACAAGAAGCTTCTACTGTGACACTTTTTTTTTGTTTGGTTCCCCCAAAAAGGTCATCAGCTCCTCATTACACCAAGTTCTTTTGAACCCCACTTGGGCAGTGGAGACCTCTGCCATGTCACTGCTGAGGACAGGCAGGGGAGGTAATGCTCGCAGCTTACAAGGATACTTGTTGTCCCATGGGCCAGCACAGCATCCTTCCTCAGCACGCAGGAGGGCAGCAGCTCTGTTCCCCTGTTGCTTGTTGGATGATCCCCCAGGAGAGAGCTCCTGATGAGGTGTCAAGTCCTGTCCCCCACCTGGCAGGGCTGCAGTGGGTGAAACTGGGCTGGCTCAACCCCACGCACCCATGCTAGGGTGGGCTCAGCAACACACCCCCACCAACCCCACCATCAGACCCCGACCTGCAGCTGCGCTTCCAGCACAGCCTTGCTGCTGAAAGCAGTGGGATGTAGGGAATGGGGCGGCCCCGCTCAGCAGCCCCGCTCCTCACACCCCACAGGGGTCGGACAGGCTCCACCAGCCCAGAAAACCATTTCAGTCCCCTTGCCTGACAACCCTCCGCTGCTTTCTCCTCCCAAGATGGTCACTGCCAGTAATAGCAGGGAAAGTCACATCCAAGCTGGGAAAATAACATGTTATTTTCCCAGCTGTGATGTCAGAGCTTGTCATGCTTGCCGGCTCAGCAGTGGGGCAGACAGGGCATGTTTGAATGTCCCCAAGTGGTCACCAGGGCTGGCTGTACCCCCAGGGTCTGCAGAGCCATTCCCCTTTTTGGTGGCAGCTCTGGTTTTGCTCCCCAAATGCACGGGAAAGCGGCACATCCCTGCCACACGGATGGGGCTGCCCAGTGCCAGGCATCGCAGGATGCATCTCTGCTTCCAACCTGGGGACACTCACCATGGGGACATCCCAAACCGGGTCCTTCCCCATCCTCAGTCGTGCAGAGCAGTAGCGCATCCCAGCTGTTTTAATGGGTTAGAAAGTGTTTTTTTCCTTTCCTTCTGCTCCCGCTGTAGTTTTGGAGCAGGTCTCCCTCACTGAGCTGTCCCTGAGCACTGGGAATGGAGGGACCCATGAGACACCCCAGCACGATGGGAGAGAAACCCATTACCCAGCACTCCTCACCTCCCGCAACAACATCAGAGAATATTTCCCCTGTTTTTTCCTTTTTGACAAGCCCCAAGACTGCTCTTAAAACAAAGACAAAAGAGGAAGGCTCAAATCCTCCCAACCCATCCCCATCACCCAGCTCGCCCCTCTGGACCAGCACGGTGTGGGGTGATGCTCCCCGCTCCCCACCTTCACAAGAAAGTACCGCCAAACCCCCCACGTCCTTCAGAAGCACTTAATCCATTACAAATTTCACAAAGCGCGGCTCGGGGAAGCGCTGGGCCAGAAGAGCAAACAAACAAGGCAGGAATAAAGCCCGGCTCTCAATGAGTGGGCCCAGCGCGTGGCTGGGTTTTTATTTCTTTCCCCACTTCTCCTCTGGCCGACCACCTTCTTTTTTTTTAATGATTACATTTCACTTGCCGCCCCGTAACAAAGCCATCACCTCTGCCGTGACTCCGGGGAGACGAGTTACAATTACAAATTACCACCACAATTAGTGCTAGTTCTTAGAGAAATTAGAAAGGGGAGCAGGAGGCTCGCGTGCGATTGATTGCTATTCATCCTGCTTTGCGGTGACCTTGCTCTGGAGATGATGATATTCCTTCAGCCTGGAAACCGGATTAAAAAAAAAATTAATTGTAAATTAACAGTAATAACACACATTTCCTTTCAATTAATTTAAGCGGAATGAGGGGGCGTGAAGAACAGGCGTTTGTTAAGGCCTGTACAGTTTAATTATATTTTTTTTTTTCCTACGAGATAATGTAATTAATTTATCTTAGAAGGGTGGGGGGACATGGCGGATCGGGGAGAACAAAGCAGATAACAGGCAATGGAAAAATTAAGAGCCCATTATGTAAATGCAGCGTGTTTTACAGCCCTGGAGTTGGGGCGGGGGGAGTGTGGCGGGGTCTGAGAAATAAGTAAAATAACGAGGCCGGCTGTGCTGGGGAAGGCTGTAATTAGGCAGAGCTGGTGCTGGGGGGGACTGGTTGCATCCCTATGATCGGTGGGGGCTCGGGGGGAGGCCTCAGTGCACCCCCAGCTCCCAAGATGGGAAGTGGGGGGGCTGGGGGCATATCGCCCGCCACGGGGAGGGTCCCACAGACCTCAGTGAGTTGATGTTGATGAAGCCGGTGGCGTCGGCAGGCTCGTAGTCCCCTTGCACATTCATGCTGTAATGAGAAAAACTCCGTCACTGAGAATTGGGGAGTCCCAGTGGGGCTTGGGGCTTCCTTTTGGGAAGGGAAGGGACACAGGTGAGTCCCTGCCTGCCTCCAGGAAGGGGCACATAGCCTTGGGAGCAGTGGAGCTGCAGGGTCACCGCCATGGCCATCCCCAGGCTCTGCTAGAGACATGGCCCCAGATTTCCCTCTGTTCACCACCACCCTTCATCCCGCACTTGCCATGGAGCAGAGATGCTCGCCCTGACCCAGAGTTGTCCCTGGGTATGGCTGTCCCACAGCAGGCAGGGACATCACCCTGGGCAGGGCAGGGGGATAGAGGACACTCCTGGCACCCCTAGGGTTTGTGGCTGTGACGGCCAATGCCCTGGTATGGCAATGAGAGTATCCCCTTCCCCAAAAGCAGCAGCCACCCACCCAACCCCAACTCCAATGGTTTCCCACATCCCCAAAACACATGGCTCATTTCCCAGAAACCACAAACATTAGAGGAGGAAGAGAGGGAAATAAAGAAAAAAAAAAAAAAAGAGTTTACAATGATTTTACCTCCCCTGACGGGCTACAGAAAAACCTCTGTGCTTTTATTTTTGCTCATTCGAGTGGTTCTGACCTGCTCTATAATTACGTTACTTTCTACCTACTGTGCAGAGGCATTTCCACACAGCTCTGCCTCTCACAGCTTTCTCTCGGGTTCCTGTGACGCCGTCACTCAAAGGCTTTCAAACCAGCGATGTAGAAATCAAAAAGAAAAGGAAAATGGTTGGAGACGCAGGGAGAATAAGTGCCCCTGCTTTTCTCTCCCTCTCTTTTTTTCCTCCATCCCACCCCCCTCCATCGTCCTTTTTTTTTTTCTTCCCTCCTTTTTATTTTTATTTTTTTTATATACTTTATTCATTTAATCTCTCCAAGTGAGACCGTGAAGCATAATGAAGGGTTGGGACGGATTATTAGGAGCTGTTGATTTCGAAGGGGAGGGAAAGGGGGGAAAAAAGCCAGAGAAGAGAAAGAGAGAAGATAATTTGACATTTACTCCGACTGATCTAAACTCATTCGGGTGTATTTATGGCTTATAAAGTGTTTAGAGAGATTGAAAGGGGTTGAGGGAGGGCTGGGGGGGGGAGAGAAAACAACGAGAAGAGAAAAACTGAAGGGAAAAAATAATATTGACTTGAAAACACGGCTCACTCTTTGGCCGGGCACTTGGATGGGAGGACAGCGTCACCAGGGATGAGACAGGATGGATTGGGAGGCAGTGGGATGGGATGGAACAGAGCAGGATGCGACAAGATGATGGGATGGGATGGGATGGGATGCTTGCCACCACCACCACTGCCCGCCCTGGCCCCCCAGACCCTGCTCACCTCACCAGCTCCTCGTTGTAGAGCGACCGTGGGGACTCTCTGCCCAGGATGTAGACCTGGCCCTTGAGGACGGAGAGGCGCACGGTGCCCACCACCGCCTCCTGCGAGCGATCGATGCACTCCCGCACGAACTCACACTCGGGGCTGTGCCAGAAGCCTGCGGGCAGGAGGCAGCGTCAGCAGGGACATGGGGGAGGTCGGGGCATCCCTGGGTGCCCATGGTCCCCCCAGGCTCAGTCCTGGGCAATTTTCAAGGGAAGGGACGTGGTCGCAGGATGAGGAGAGGGAAATGAGGTGCTGGAACACCTGAGCTGAGCTCTGAGGGATGGAGACCCTATCTGTGTCCCTTCCCCTTGGTGGCCCTTGGGTTCCCACCCAGGAGAGGAGCTTGGAACAGGTTGATGGAGGAGAGGTAGCCACTCTCCTTCCAACTCCTCTGGGTGGGAGGCCCTCGTAGAAATTAAAAGCTTTGTTAAGTTCTTATGAAACCGTCACTCAAAAACCAGCATCTTGGGAGGGTCAGAGGGAGACAGACAGATATTGCACCATGGCCCCCCAAAATGCATCCTGTGGGAGCAGCAGTCGACACTGCTGTTCACCGAGGCCACAGTGGGCATGCAGAGGGGCTGTGGCCCTGCAGCCCCCGTGCCTCCTTCTGTCCCTAAGCGGGGTAATTAACCGAGGAGCCCTGGAATAAAGCCTGGGAGATGGAGAGGGAGATAGAGGCAGAGAGAGAAAGAGCCCATTCACTGCCCTCCGGTCATCCCCAGGTTTTATCTCTCCCATCGCCCTCCTGCTCGCACACCGGTGCCCTCTCACCTTTCCCTTCCCAGCTGGGCTCCGGGGCCGAAGCCATTAAAGAAACATCCCCGGCGGGCCTCCGGGGCCGAAGCCATTAAAGAAACAAACAATTTCTTTTGTTGTTCAGCCTCGCCAGCCCCCGAGCGGGGCCGTATCCTGCAGCCTGGTCCCCGAGACCCCTCACCACCAAAACCATCTCCCTGAGCCAGACTCCCCGCCCCTGCCCCACCGCGGCACAGCCGGGGGGTTTGGGGACCCCTTCCCCACAAGCGGCACTGCCATGCAGGCAGGGACCTCAGCTCCGGGCAAAAGGGGCACCCCCCTTTTTGGCAGCCATCCTCCAGGTACAACTCTTCAAACATCAGGATCGAATGTATCCCCTGTTGCACCCCCGTTGAAATAAACCCAAGATGCATTAAAATAATAACCAGCTACTTAAATCCCAGCTCTGACAGCTCCAGGTGCGAGGAAGCAACCTCTCCCCCCCCTCCACTCGCCCCCCACACATTCCCCACTGGAAGCGACCTCCCTTAATGACCTTCCCGCCTCGTCACCGCCATCCTGTCCTAATGACTTCGCGGGCAGGGGGACAATGGCATTTCCGCACCTGGCCGTACCTGCCGGGACGGGAGCTGGCTTCAAAGCCACCCCTCCACAATGGGATCAATGGGGACGGGGGGAAGATAAACACTAATTCCTCTAAAATCAGGGTCTAGTTGCAATAATGAGGTGTTAAAGGAAGGTGAGCTTGAAAGCCTGACCTCCGGCATGGGGACCCACGGGTGCTGTCTGCACCCTTGTTCCTCAGATTTGGGCTTGGCTGCCAGGAAAGCCTAGGACCACACTGAAAATCCCTGGGGATTCGGCATTTGTCAGCCTTCGCCTGGCAGAGGTCGGGAGGGAGAAGCGAAATCCCAATTCCCCGAGTGGCTCTTTTAATCTGGCAGCTTCATGACAAGTGAGTGGTTAGAAATAAACAAACAGGTTTGTGGTGAAGCTAAATTAAATATCAAAATAAAGGCAGTCCAGGACAAAATCTGATAAAAATAGCCAGAGGCAGGAGTGGCATTTAGGGCTAACTCTGCTTCCTTCAACTTAGCACCAGCCACCAAGTCAGGGTTGATCCACGGAGCAGCTGGGAGCCCCTCCCGCAGCCCCTCCTGCAGCCCCCGGCAAAGTCCCAACCCGCAGTGCCCCTGTGTGGGCTGTGCACCACATAGCACGGCCGGGACCCTCTGTCTCCTCCGCAGTACCCTGCACCCAGAGCCACAGCACCTCGAGAGCCCCCTCATGCCACACACCCCCCCGCCAGGCCATGAAGGGAAGCCTCTGGCTTCAAACCATGCTTGTGTGCCCCAGACCCTGAGGTTCGAAGGCAGGCGGAGTGACAGAGGGGGTTGAAGGGGAGAGCTGGGGAAAGGTGATGTGGGAGTGGACACAAAGGGACAGTGAATTACAGCCTGTGCGACATCTGAAGATGTTGGATGGGAAAAAGTGATGGCACCAGGCTGGGAGAGATGCCAAGGGCATCCCCCATGGAAGGCAGCATCCCCTAGTGAAGGCAGGCGTGTTGCCCCATCATCACAAAAACAGGCTGCGGGGTCCAGCTCTGCCCTCAACATGAGCAAACTCATCTTTTCCCTTGTGAGCAACCTCAAAATCCACACCTAAATTTTACCATCCTGAATGCATGTACCAATGGGACCTGCAGCCTCTGGTACCAATGAGAGAGGAGGATCAAGAGGGCTGGGAAGATGCTGCAGTGGCAGGATCAGGCCGAAGGACCCTACGTACCATTGTACACCAGCTCGGAGAATTTCAAGGCGAGACCCTGCTTGATTTTCCGTACTTCTCGGTCCATGGTGAAGGCCTCCATATCTAAATGTGCATGGTATAGGATCGTTCCCGCTGGGGTCTCATAGATACCTAGCCATTTTTCCAGGCAGGGGGAAAAGCAGAAAAAGAGAGAGAAACGAATGAGACCAAAACTGTCAGCAAATGACAAAAAATAATGACTTGGCTGACAGAAGGAGCTGTGGTCGAGCGCATTCAGTCCCAGCTTGCTGTAAAATGCATCTGTCATTATATTCATGCTGGGGCCGAGACAGTCCACTCCGCACCTTGCGGAGAAAATTTCTAGATTCTCCTCTTTGAAGAGGCACTCTGACGAGGCTAAATGACAGGGTTTGGGAACTGATCCCCCCACCGATCCGTGCCCAACGGTCTGCGGCTGAAAACCTGTAATTAACAGAACGACGCGGGGCACAGGCACGGGGAGCGGAGGGTCTGAAATACCCTCCTCTCCCCTCAGCTGGCGAGAAGGAGCCCTGCGTGGCTGCTGCAAGGCAACAAGGCTACCTGGGGGCTGGGAGGGCAACCTCATTTGGGGCTGGCAGGGCCCCTTTCCACCTGCCCTCCCATTGCACAAGGCCTGGGGATGGAGGATGCTTCATTATTTTGGTGATGGGGGCTAACGCTGCAGGCGAGCTGCTGCCTTTGTTGCAGCTGCTTGGGGCTTATTTGCCACATAATGTATTTACTCGGTGTTTAAATATGATAGCGGCCACGCGCTGCTCCGCTCCCGGACGGATGCAGGTGGGAAGCTGGGGTGTAAAATGCTGAACATGTGGTGGCCAGGGCTGCTCCATCAGCTCATCCCCGTCCCCTGCCCACAGGGATGGCCCCCTCCCCATGCCAGACATCTGTGCCATAGCATGGCCACGGGAATGGCAAAAAGCACCCACACATTGGGTTTTGCTGGCACACAAAGAAACCCCAAAGAAAACTGTCTCTACCGAAGGGGTAGTGTCCCCAACCAGCCCTGACCCCGAGAAGGGGTGAGATGAGCCCATGGGGGCTCAAATCCACACTGAGCTCTGTCCACTTGGTGCTCCTGGAGAGTGGCATGGGCTCAAGCGCGTCCCATCCTGGGGTGGCCACAAGTCCCATGGACTCTTCTGAGGCCCCATCTACTCTGGCAGCCCAAACCACTTCCACCAAACCTCATCCCTACCGGGGTCCATGATCTCTGAATCGTACAGGCACAGGATGGGTCCCCATCCCAAAGGAGAGCCACCCCCTCCTCTCAGGCCACCCCAGTGATGTTTCAGCCCAGTCCCTGGGGGCTGGTCATGGGGTGCTCACCAAGCACCCATCCCCATGGGGCTGTGTGAGGAGACAGCCAAGCTAACATCAAAAACCAACCGTCCCCACGGGCAAGGTGGTGGCACAGAGGACTGCTGTATGCCTCCTCCAGTCCCTGACCATGAAGCTAACAATTAATATTCCCTCTCCTTCCCCTTAGGAGCTGTTAAAGCCAATTTGGGCTGACCAAAGGTTTAGGTTCATGTCTTCACCGCCACCTCCTGCCTGCATCCCTGCTCATCCCATTCAACCTGATGCCAGAGGACTGGGGATCGGAGCGTGACAGCCAGGGCGGAGGGGAGGGGAGCTGACAGCCACGCTCCTGGCATCGCCACTGAGGAGACAAGAGACACCTTCAAAGTGACACTAGCAGTGTCTCCAAGTGTCTATTTTCATCTCCCCGTGTTTACAGGAAAAAGACAGAGGTGTCAGCACTGCAGCCTGGTGAAGCTTCAATCACCCCATAATTACTGCTGGGGAAGGGGGGGACCAGAGCAGGGAGTGGGGGACACGAGGGGGGGGGAGCAGCCAAGGAGACAGCTGCCACTGCTTAAAATTTTCTAATTTGCAACCTTGGCTGTCAGTTCACCTCCATCCAAGCAATTTTGCTGTGCTGAGTGCGAGCTGTCACTCCCAGCGGCATCCGCAGGATGGGATGGGATGCGGTGGCTTCCCGAGGGGAAGAGGAGGATGATGCTGCCCACGGGAAGATGCTGCCCAAATTGGTATCAATGGTCCAAGGCTAAGGCTGAGCATAGGTTCATCGCAGGGAAAGGGTTTTCCGCTTTCCTCCTCCATCTGCTCAGCACATGGAGAGGAGGAAAAGGGAAAAGGAAGGAGGAAAAGCCCCAGGCGAACGCAACGCTCGGCTCTTTTGGCAGCGGCCGTCCCCTTCTTTTCGCTTCCTCCCCACTGATTTCATTTACTTCACTTAATTAGCCCCCCTTCAGAGTTAAAAAGATAATTCGATAATGAGGACGTGAAAAGGCGGGAGAGGCAGGGCCGGGCTCCCACTCACAGCCAAGAGCCCCCGGCCGAGCCGTGGCCCCCTCAGCCGGCTGCAGCGCCGCTTCCCGACACCCCATAATTACCCATCCTCCTCCCACTAAAACAAATACGGCAAAATCGAGTTAATAGGGCTTAAAAGGCTGGCACAGGCACACTCAGCTTGCCCATCGCCCATTAGGCCTTAACGAAGTTCAATTACGAGCTTAGTAAAAATCAATGCAAATGAATTTTTCTCTTCCCCGACTCCCCAGGTCCAGGAGGTGAGGAAGAGGAGGCACCTGGCAGGAGCCTTTGCTGCCACCTCCACAGCCATGGAGGGCTCTTGCTGTGCCCCTGGCTGCCCGTGACTTAGTTTCCCCAGGGTAGAAGGGGTCCCTGTGCTGCCCAGAGGAGAGCCCTGAGCCAGCGGGGTCACCACACACCACTGGGATTTAATGGATCATCTGCTGCCGCCTGTGACCGCAGCTCCCATCTCCTGCCCCACTGACCCTAACCCCATCTGGGGTCCCAAATGCTCTGGTGGGGCCACCCCGAGCTGCCCTGCACCCCAAAACCGCTGGGGGAGACAGGTACCGACAACACCCTCCTGCTCCGGCCCCCTCCCATCTCTCGGAGCAGATTTTTAGGAGATTTCTGTGAATCCCAAGGAGCAAACCCAGTGGGAGGATCCTGTCCAAAGCAAGGGGGAAAAGCCATTGCCAAGGGTGCGTCCCCAAGGCGTGTGCACCCCCGCTGTCCCCAGAAAGCTCGGTCCTCCCGCGTCTGCCGGCGCATGAACGCAGCAGTGATCGCCTGGCGATGTCACACCGGAGACAGACATGACAGTTAAATGGGGTTTAGAGAAATTATTAAATGCTGGAAGGGTCACTAGAGCATGTCAGTGGCTCTTAAAGAAAATAAAATAGATTTTGACAAATTACTCAGCATCCTGGATGCAAATGCGCTGGTGTGTGTGGTTTGTGGTTGAGGGTTTTTTTCTTTCTCCTTTCAGTTTTAATTCGATTATTCAAACCCAGATCGAATTATCTGGGGTTTTGTTTCTTGTCTTTCATGGCTGATACTCTTGGTGCCCTATGGTGGGGAGGGAGGCAGCAGGCTGGGTCTTACCAAAATATTTGCTGATACCCTGCACGAAGGGCAAGTTTAAAGAAAGGGAACGTCAAATTAGGTATTAATGAGGTTTAAAACAAAAGAGCAGGGGCAAGGAGATGGGAAATGATTATGAGCCCTCTTGTGACTTAGTTCTGCACAGGGCAGCTCCCTGCCTTCTGAGGTTTCCAATGAAGCTGATCCTAATGGATGATCAATACTAAGAGTCACAGCCTCAAAAACACATAGATAATCTAAGAATTGGCTTTAAAAAAAGTTGACTTGCATCAGCCCCCCTGCATTTTGTACAGGGAAATCCCAGCCAAATCTGATGGGAAGGGAGCAGCTGAGAGCTGCCAGCACAGCCTGAACCAGCGCATTCCGGCAATGATGAGCATCCACCACATCCCACCAAGGTCTTCCCTTTTTTTGGCAGTTTTTAGGGCAGGGATGGCACCGCTGGTCACTCACCTCTGGACTTCATCCCAACAAAGCGGTTCTCCACAATATCAATGCGCCCAACACCGTGCTTGCCCCTGCGGAGGAGAAGGGAGGTCACAGCAGCCCTAGCCACACAGCAGCACTGGTGGCCATTGGTAGTGACCCCCAGATGGGACAGGTGGCAAGGAAATGGGTTTTCTCCCCTTTTCCCTTTCTCTTTGCTGTGCCACCAGCCTCTCCATCCTGACTTGCTGCTGGGGCTGGCAGCTATGGCATTTGGGCCACTGGAAAAGAAACTGGGCAAGGTCCAGGCCACAGCTGTATTCCCCATGGCCGAAGTCATTTTAAAACCGCTTAATTAACATCTAAAAAGAGAACTACATGGAAAAGTTCATTCCCATTCAGTGCCGGCAGAGATAAAGGCAGAGGCACAAAGGAGGATGCTGGGGACTGGGTGGCACAGGAGGAGTGTGTGCCCTCGTGGGTGCTGCTGTATTTTTGGGCAAGCCCTTGAGGATGGCTCACCCCAGTGGCAGCAGAAACCAGCCATGAGGTGGCACAGGACAGAAAACCCCAAAGATTTGTGTCCCTTGGATAGGCAGGATGAGGCGATGCCCCCCAGGACGCAGGAGCTGGGGTCCAGGCCTGAGCTGGAACAAAGGATGCCCTGCAGGCAAGGGGTATCCAGGGCCTGGGGCACACGATAAATGCTTAGGGGATTCGTAAGACTCATGCATGGGGAGCATAAACCTTAAATCCTCCCATGCTCCTGGCATTGGTGCCCAACTCTGCTTGTTGGCATGGATGGCACAACAGGGTCCCAGCTGGGACCCACCTGGGACCACCCCATCCTCCCAGTGCTGACCACCATCCCATGGCTCATGGGAATGTGTCTGCTGCAAGCATCCCACTCCCACCCCACCCTGGGGACCCTGCCCTGGTCCCTGGGGACAGCGTGGGGACAGTGTGGCACTCACGCGATGTCGTTCAGGTACATGAAGAGCTCCAGGGCTGAGCAATGAGTGGCTCTGTCCCCGGCATTGGTGACCTTCACGGGGACACCTGCAGAGGCGGGGAGGGAGGACGGGCAGGATCAGCTGGTGTCAGAATTCCCTCCCCCCCCAAACATCACCCCCCAGGCGTTAAATAGATGTGACAGATATGAACTCTAAATAACTTCTTAAAAAGGCATATCCAAGCTGGTGCGGGGGGGAGGCGAGGGGGACCCACCTCGGGAGAGAAGCGAAATAAATAAATAAAAAA